GCGGCGATGACTGGCTCCCTCCCCTCCCAGCCACCCAGCCAATGGCAGGCCAGGTTCGGTGAGGGAGCCAGTCATCGCAGGCAGCGTCTTCTGAGTGGCATTTTTTCCGCCCATACACTAACGGGGGCGCATTTTAGAATTCTGGCACCCAAAACCCTTTTATAATATAGGAGAGATACTGGATAACCCTCAGATCCACCTGTCATATATCATTATTTATAAATATTCTGGTTTCCTTTCCAAATACTGACCAGGGTCAACCCTGTTTAGCTATCGAGATCTGGCGAGATTGGGTTCGCCTGGGCCATCCACTTCAGGGGTTGTCTGTATTGTGCATAGGTATTATCTTTGTATAATGCTGTAGACTGTCATACATAAATTTCCATAGTACATATTTTGAAGAAGAAGGGAAGAAATTGGATTTATACCCCGCCCTTCAGAGCGGCTTACAAACTCTTTTCCCTTCCCCTTCCCACAACAGACACCCTGTGAGCAGTGTTCCCTCTAAGCTGAGTTAGTGTGAGCTAGCTCACATGTTTTTAGCCTCCGGTTCACACGTTTTTGTCTTAGCTCAGGAAGGGATGGCTCCAGAGCAAACTAGTTTATGCAGCAGCCAAATCGCTCGCTCACAGCTTTAATGCCAGGAGCTCACAAAGTAGGATTTTTGCTCACAAGACTCCACAGCTTAGAGGGAGCATTGCCCGTGAGGTAGGTGGGGCTGAGAGAGTTCTGACAGAAACTGTTCGTTTTCAAGAACAGCTCTGACAGGACTATGGCTTACCCAAGGTCATCCAGCAGCTGCAAGTGGAGGAGTGGGGAATCAAACCCAGTTCTCCCAGATCAGAGGCTGTGCACGTAACCACTACTTTTCTTAAAAAGCATTTCACTCATTGGAAAAATATTTCTTAGGAGGTTTTTTCATTGCTTCCCCACATTTCAATGCATTTTCCATTAGAAAAATGGGGGGGGGGGGGAAGCCCCAGGGGGTAGACTCCCCCCGCCCCTGAAGTTTTCAGATATTTTTCTGGGCCTTCAGATTTCTGTTTCTGTACTTGTTTCTCTGATGCCATTTGCCTTAATTGTCCTTCTGATATGGCCTTCTCCACACTGCAGTCCTTGTTATCAGCAATGATGTTTTCACACTGGTGCTCTGTTAAATTCGTTTTCCCTCCTCTGAACTAGTTTTTCTCCCCTCTACGTTTTCTTTTTAGCTACAGACCCACTTACTGGTCTCTGTTTTGTGGGCAAAATCAACTCTGTTTTGCATCCCCAAGATCATATTCTTCTCCTCTCCACTTTTCCTATTTCCCATTTGTTATTTATCTGTGTTCTCGTAGGTGGCATCACATTGCTTATTTATGCTGACTGCCGTTGTGTTCTCTCTGAATGTAGAGAAATTCCTTTTGTGCCTTGAACTCCATCATGCTGTGGGACCATGGCCTTGAGCAAATTATTTTTTCTTCAGTTTCTACCTATAACTGTACCTAGTTCCTTTTAGAATTCAACACCTATATCCCCTTGGTGTTGGTATGAATACCAAGCTCTTTCCTGTTTTTTTTTTTTTTTACTTGGATGGCAGCTTAGTTTTGTCTCATAGTACCTCCCAAACCTGTCACTCCACAACTAGCAGAGCCCAAGGATTTTTGATTTTCTACATTTCGGGTTTCCTCTTAATTTGTAACAGGCAAAGAGCCAGGAGTAAAATCTGCTTGGATATCCTGTAAGCCAGTCTAGTTGGTGATGTGTGGCTTCTATAGAAGTAGTTGGGGGTGGGGGGATTTTGTACTTGATTCAGTCTACCTGTTTGAGTTAAACCTGCTTACAGGTCCAGGGGGAAAAAGAGGATTTGTAGTGGTGACAATATTAATGTATGAGTTGGCTCTTGGAAGGCTAGCATTGGCTAGCCATGATGATTAAATACTGTGGAACAACTACTCATACTTGGAACTACTCTTCTCTCTTAACTGCAGAGTAGCAGTCCCAAGTAAAGCATATAATTGGAATATTTGGGCTGGGGATGGTGGCAATATCTGGGAAAAGGATTCTAGGTCCAGTTTGCTTGGGGCCACTTGACAAGAAGCTATCAGTAACTTTTGTGATGGCAGATATATGGCCAAAGGGGGCTGCACATACTGACGGCTGTCCTTGTTCATTTAGGATAGGTCTACCAAGCTTGAAAGGTCTGTCATGATAGTTAAATGGAAGCCTTGTGTTCAGAGGTATCTGACCAGGAGATGCAGGGGACAAAGAACATAGGAGGGCTGTTGTTTTCATGTCTCGCTTGTGGGCTTCCTAGAGCTACCTGGGTGGCCATTGTTCGGAACAGGATGCTGGACTGGATGACTCTCTGGTTCATCCTAGTGGCCTACTCTTGTGCTACAGAATGCTTGGCTTGAGTTGTCATTCTGCCTGGATCGTACCCAAGCCACCCAGAGCATCAAAGATAGTAGCATAATGTTCTAAGCTTTCAAAAAGGACCCCATTCATTCTGCAGCATTTACTAGTGTCACCCTCATTCTGCTTCCTCTAGAAATCGGGAGGAACAAGGTGTTGTGGGACACTAAAGTTTCACCCCCTGACCTTCGGAAATCCTCACTCAGCCAATCTTTTGACTTCTGAGATTTCAGCAGCCAGTTGTCTAGACAGTTTGCATCATATATCTAATCCTGAACCATGTCATAGAGGATATGATCAGTGGATCCACAAGATGGAGCTAGGAGATGGGGGGAGTTTTTCTCTACAAACCTAAAGGAAGCCCCGGGTTTGCAGAAGAATCTGAAATCTTAAAAGAGGGGGGGGGGATAAAAAAAACAAACCCTTTTTAAAAAAAGAATGATACGAGCTTTAAGTGGCCATTTTGGGTGTTGCTAGGCAACTGCAGCTATATTACTGAGCTTTCCAAGCCTCAGTTTCTGTAAAGCAAAGCCATGGCAGGAGAGAAGTCCTCCCTTGTCACATCCCTTGATGGAGGAGGACTCACTAGGGACACACCCAGCCATCAGAGACTCACTACCAACACCACTCACTACCAACACCACTTAGCCTCTGGCCACTGTGCCTCTGGGCCAGACTTTTCCTGGGGAAAGTGCTGGTGAGGGGAAGGGGACAGATGATGGGTGGGAAGGAGAGAAGGAAACAGGAAAAGGGAGAGGCTGTGGGGGCTGCTAGGGAAGGGAAATAGTAAGGGGGGGGTCCAAGCTAAATTGAGATGCCCCTTGCAAGTCCTTGTAGGTCTCTCACTTGTATTTTCATAATCATAAAGACTAAAATGTTGCTTTTGTGTTTTTCATTTAGAAAAATAAAGCTTCCATTCTCATGAGTCTGGATTTCCTGACAAGAGCCACGTTATGCTTCCCCCCCCCCTCTGCTTCCGTGGCATTATGGCATATATTTTACTTAGTTCAATTTTTTTATCCTGCCCCCTTTCTGAGGATTTCCTGGTGGTGTACATAATTCTTGCATCCTATTTTTCCTCCCAACAGCCCTCATTGGTAGCTTGAGAGTGACTGGCTCATGGTCACTCATGCAGCAAGCCTCATGGCCGAGTGAAGATGCAAGCCTGGGTCTCCCAGATCTTAGTTCAGCACCCTAATCACTACCTCCATGCCACTAAGTAAATCCTACTGAGTTCAGTGCAACGTATTCCCTACTAAGTGGGTTTGGGGGGTACAGCTACCCTCAGAGAGCCTGCTAATACAGATCAGTTTCAAAAAGCTGGTCTTCAAAGTATCTTCATACCGTTCCTACTTGTATAAGAATACTGTGATGATCTCCTTATTCTGGAGGACTGGTTTCCCTTTAAAAGTGTTATTTATTTTATTCTACTATGTATATACGGCTGCCACCAGGAAATTTAAGGCTTTCCAAACCTTTATACTTTTACTTCTGCTCTTGCTGGTTAGGTAGACCGAGTACAAGGCTTATGAGGAACTATGTGGTCCTAAGGAAGTATTTCTTTCAGAGCAGGTATAGTTGAATAAAAGAGGATTTATTGAAATAATTCATAAATAAAAGGGTAGAACAAGATATCTAGTAATGTCTAATAAATGAACCGTTGCTTGTTATATCACAAACAATATGCTCCCTTACTGACAGGAATCTTTCAGGTAACTTTGTAACACTTTAACTCAAGATCATATATTTTCACTGTTTCTCTCCAGTTTATCAGGACATACAGCCTTTCTTATAACTTGTCTTCAATTAAACGTTCATTTACTTTTTCCTATTCTCTCAGCCTTCCTTCTGTTTCTCACTGAACTAACTTTTTCCATACAGGACTGCTTCTAACTTCCTTCATACCCAGAACTAACTGCTTGTCTAACTCATTCCCCACACAGAACTAACTGAACTACTCAACTGTCAAACCTGTAACTGTAACCTCTGACTGACATACAGACATATCCACTCATTCTCACTTCCAAAACCCCTCCCCCTCTCTGTCAACCACCAATCATACCACACTTGCTTCTCTCAACCACTGTAGTCTACTTACCACCGCCATGCAACCAAACTTTTAAAGAGACACACACAAATAAAACAAGGAATCATTACAAATACAAACCTCAAAGGTATATAGACTAGATGATAGTGCTTATATTATTCCCAGTCAACAGTGAGACAGCTCAGTAGCTTGCAAGGCAGAGTTACTCATTACAGTCTCTCTTGTGCCTTCTGCTTGTATTTCTAGGGGTTCTGGAAGAAGCTGAATTCTACAACATCGGATCTCTGATCAGACTAATAAAGGACAGGCTGGAGGAAAAGGACTACACAGTAACACAGGTGTGATGGGATTTGGCTACAGAAGGCCTACTTGAGAAACGGGATAACTGCAGAGGGGCATAGAGTGTAAGAGGGAGGTTCAGGAGTGTTGTGCCCCCTGGTGGAGTTGAAAATGTTTAATTCCATGGTGGTGGGGATCCATGGGCAATCTTGCAGAAGTAGGAGAAAATGGGTTGCAGGGGTTTGTCCCCTGAGAAGGAAAAGAATGAATGTTGCATGGTTTGAGTTTCTGGGCACTTGCTATCTTAGATTACAGTTTTAAGTATACAGGTTGTTCCAAAGTAGAAAAGGCAATTGCTTGGTTGATGTGCCTAAGGTGCCCTGGCTGTGTAAGTCTGGGGGAGAGGGGAAGGGAGGACTATCGTGATGGGGAGCAAACACTGGGAAGTTTGTGAATGTACCCCCGGCCCACAGCTACAGTGGGGCCTCTTGGGGCTCACTTACTGCCAAGGCCCCCTGACTTCCTATCCAGCCTAGCGCCCCCCCCCCCCCAATCCTTATTTTTTTTGTGACGCAGTGCATGGCTGCGCTGCACTGTGCCATCACCCTCACTGACCTCGCCAGCCAGCCCTGCCCTCCATTCCCACGCTGCTGGATGGGATGCCACCAGAAAGTGGCAGTGTCAGTGGCAGGGTGGTCAATCCAGCACCCACCGTCTCCTGGTGTTCACCCGCGTTGTGAATCACTGTGCAGCAATGGTGGCGGCGTGGCTCCCTCCCCGCCTGCCCTGTGCTCCCGACTTTTTAAAACGCCCCCCGACTTAAAAAATCCTGGCTACACCCCTGATGTACCCCTGCCCTCAGAAAGGGCTCTTGAGCCTTTAATTGTCCTGTGACATCTCAGAGGCTGTGGCTCAATAGGACAGACTTAGTATGCGTAAGATACCAGGACCTGAGCCTGGTATCTCTTGTAACAAAGGCTGGGAAGACTTGGCTCAACCTGAGTCCCCGGTTCAAGTTGGAGTGCGTACTACTGGACCAACATCTTACTTGGTATTTGACAGCTTCATGTGTTAAGTGCCCATCTTCCTGTAAAAGGCACAGAGACCTTTCAGTCTGGAGCGGACAGTCTCATGGAAGGTCCGAAAGATGACGTCCTGCTCTTTTAAGTGTACAGCCACCGCAACTGCAGCCAGCAGTCACTCATCTTTATTTGAAGGCCTGTAGTGATTTCCCCCCATGAGATCTGATCTGGCTTGATGCTGAGGTTGTGAATGAACGGTGCCATCTTAAGCAGAGGGGAAGTCTTCTGACTTTTGGACTTAGAAAGATATAACTGTGCTGAGGATGGCTCTTCAAACCTGGACAGTCTACCTGGGAGGAAGGCTTCCTTGTTACCAGAAGTTCTGTTTCCGTTCCTCCTAGGTGCCTCCAAAGCACGTGTACCGAGTTCTTCAGTGTCAAGAGGAGGAGCTCACCCAAATGGTTTCCACTATGTCTGATGGATGGCGCTTTGAACAGGTACACAGGAAATGGTGGTCAGTGCAAACCAGTGAAGGGGGCATCTTGAATATAGTTTCCCTAGAATTTGTTTTTAAAGGTTTATGCCTCACCTTTTGATTGGTTGATGTCCAGAGTAATTTACAACAAATGTAAACACTACAGAAAACATCACCTTTTTTCTTTTTATACTGGCACAGCCAAGAGAAGGGAGCATAATTCCTTTCCCCCAGCATTCTGATGTATCTGCTTTTTATTTATTACCCTGCTTTTTCTGCCCAGTGGTTTGTCCTTATGTGGGCTGTTATGAGCCCAGGAGAAATTGCTCCTCTAATTATACTCCAAGGACCATGGGTTGTAACAGTTTCAAGTGGATGGGGCTACTAACCAAGGCAGTATCATATGACTTCTGATTTGTCTCTGGGAGGTGAAGCATTGTAGATAGCAAAATCACAGAATCTCAGGTTTATTAGATTTGTGCTTTGTTTTTTAACGTACCCTCCCAAGTTGTGCAGTGGAACTGGGAAATGTGAGCAGATTCTGATTATCACTATCAGTTGTGCACCTGGACTTGAAACTTATTCCTTAAAAGGGAGAGACCTGTTCCATGTGCAAACAAGTTAGATGAGAGCAGTTTATGCATAACTGTCATCTGTGTTGAAATAGGGAACGGCAGTCACTCCACTCGTGGTAGTTGAATCATCTGAAGCTACTGTCAGATGACTCACTGGGAGCTAATTGCTGTAGGAACATTTATTATCATCCAGATTTTAAGGTTATGCACACATTACATTTTTGTCACTTGCCCTATATAAAAAAGACAAGAAAACAGTACAAATTACATAAACCTCAAGATCTAGGCAACGGTAACGCAGCAAGGAAACTTAGATTCCAGCAGTTTGACATTTAAATAGAGTCTTCTGTATTTTGTCATGGGTCAGAAATATGCCAGAGGTTAACTGCAAACATAGACAGGAAGCGTGTTTATTTTAACACTTTTCACCACTGCCTTTCAATGAACACAAAGTCAAGATGGCTTATAGTGTACTGTAACTTTCTCCTACTGGTTCGTTTTCTCCCTGATTCGTTAAAAAAAAAAAAACCTAATTTTTGCAGCTAACAGCAAGAATTACATAATACCCTTAGCCAGGGGTCATTTCGTAGAAAAAGAGCTAGGGGGACTCATTAGCATAACTCATTAGCATATGCCACACACCCTGACATCACCGGAAGTGTGTCCTCCCCACAGCCGGCGGCGACCTCCAGTGGGCACCAGCAGGGAGCTCCAGGCCCCGCCCTCCCGCACCTCACCCGGGGGGATGGCGTCCCCCCGCGTCCCCCCCCAAATGACCCCTGCCCTTAGCAATACTGAAATATACTTTACATATAAACCGTTTAGAACATAAGAGGTACCCTGCTGGATCAGACTAGTGGCCCCGTTTGGTCAGCGTCCTGTTTTCACACAGTAGCTAACCACTGGTTCTGGAGGGCCAACAAACAAGGCAAGGACTTCCCCTGCTGTTGCTGCTTAGCGCTAATATCCATGAGTTTGTACCTTGGAATGTGGAGGTTCCATTTAGTCACCATAACTGGTAGCCTAGCCGCTGATGGATCTCTTCCTCATGAATCCATCTAATCCCCTTTTAAAGTCATCGGAGCTCATGGTCATCACTGCCCACAATTTAATTACTTTTTCAGTGAACAAGTACTTCCCTTTTGTCCAGCTTGAATCTGCAGCCCATCGGCTTCATTTGGGTGCCCCCAAGTTCTAGTTTGGTGTAGTGGTTAAGTGCGCGGACTCTAATCTGGGAGAACCAGGTTTGATTCCCCACTCCTCCACTTGCACCTGGCTGGATGACCTTGGGCAAGCCATAACTCTGGCACAGCTGTTCTTGAAAAAGAGCTGTTTCTGTCAGAGCTCTCTCAGCCCCACCTACCTCACAGGGTGTCTGTTGTGGGGAGGGGAAGGGAAAGGAGTTTGTAAGCTGCTCTGAGACACCTTTGGGTAGTGAAGGACGGGGTATAAATCCAATCTCTTCTTCTTCTTCTAGTATTGCAGGAGGAGAAAAAAATTCTCTATTCACTTTCTCAACCTTGAGTTGCCACTCAGTATGCTCCCTGTTCCTACACATCTGTTATCACCAAAGATACCATTCACTGCATCCTCTTTCTCTCAGTTGTAGTCTAGCACCTAATTAAGAAGGGGAGGGGAAAAGAAATTCCACAGAAAAGCCGATCTGACAGTTGATCAATGTATGCTAAGTATGTAAGTGCGCCTAATTTTATATTGTTGCATGATCAAAAGTGTTCCTTTGTTGGCAGAGAAGAACCGGGTGTCAGATTATCAACTTGTTAAAAATTTTCCCCATCATGTTCTTGTGGAATTTTTAGTAATGCATCATTAATTATGTGCAAGTACATGCTGCATTTGCATATTGGCATTTGAGCCAAATGTTCTTGATTTCAGGAGTATTATATTGGGCATACATGTATTAGATAGAAGAAGGGGAAATGAGTGTTCACAAACAGGAACCAAAAACTTATATTGTTTCTCTTGCTCCTTGCTTTTTGTTTCTTTTATTTTGTGTTGTTTACCTCCTTGATAGAAATGCAATAAATAACAGATGAATGAATTCCTTCTTTTATGCTTCCCAGCTGGTGAATATTGGGTCATCCTATAATTACGGCAATGAGGACCAGTCAGAGTTCCTGTGTGTAGTCTCCAAGGAACTGTGCAGCTCGCCCAACGGCCTGGGTTGCGAGCCGAGTCGAAAAGCCAAGGTGAGAGCCGTTCTTGGCATCCTTATCATCTTAACTGGCAACTTGTCAAGCAAACATGTAGAGTCATGTGACTTTACTCTGGCTGCTGAGGCGCCCTCTCCTCTCAGATGTGGAGGCCCGGGGTATGGAATATAGTTCCATAAACTCTGCTCATGGAGGATTAAATACAGGATAGGGCTGATGTGATTGTTCACTAAGAGTCTAATCCCTTTCTCAGGATATATTGGAGCCGCTGGCTGCCAAAACCTGGAGCTAAACATGGATTCACTCTGTAATTGTATTGTATTTCTGAACAGCCTATTGCTGGCCATCCAGAGGTTGGAGGCCAGTTTGGTGTAGTGGTTAGGAGCGCGGACTCTAATCTGGGAGAACCGGGTTTGATTCCCCTCTCTTCCACATGCAGCTGCTGGTGTAACCTTGGGTCAGTCATAAGTTCTTTCAGAGCTGTTCTCTCAAGAGCTCTCTCAGCCCCACCAACCTTACAGAGTGTCTGTTGTGGGGAGGAGAAGGGAAAGGAGATTGTAAGCTGCTCTGAGACTCCTTCGGGTAGTGAAGGACGGGGTATAAGTCCAGCCTCCTCTGTCTTCTTCTTCTGTAAGGCTGAAAAAAGAGCTCTGATTATATTGGCAGGGTTCAAGTTATATTGAACTTGCCTTGTGTACTTGACATTTCACGTTTCCAGTGATGGGATGTCTCCGTGCTGTGGTGGTTGGTGATCTCTCCCTAGTCAGAGGTGAAGGAGGCTGTGTGTGTTGTTTAAAGTAATACTAATAGTAATAGCAATTGTGGGATCTAGTGGGGAATTGTGCGGTTGAGAGGGATTCAGACAGTGTTCCGAGCTGCCTGCATTTCCATCAGTTTAGGATTGAAGGTGGGCATGAGGTATGTCTGATGAATACAGACTGAGCTTTCTTCACGTCCTGTGGAGAGCCTCTGAGCCAGGGTGCCAGGATAAATACATCTCTGGTTTGACCAGACTTGGAGGCTCTTATGTTCTGAAGGTAATCATGTTGCACCTGCAATTTTTCTGTGTTGCTACTTAATCTATTCTCCACCAGCATTATGTAGCAGTCCCATTGGTACACAGATGCCCTAAATATTTTGACTATCTCTTTGACAGCTCTGCTCATGTTCTCCTTTTGACTTCTTCTGGAGAGCATGAATACATCTGTTCTGCTGAGGTTCAGTCATTGGAAGCAAGGTGGTCACCTTAAGACAGGAGACATATCATTTATTTAATTCAATCTTTATCTTGCCCTCCCCCACAAGCAGGGCTCAGTGCAGCTTGCAACATGTGCAAATAAAATTTAAAACATTATACAATAAAATCAGTTCAGTATAACATAATATGAAGCTACCTGTTTTGAAAGATGTGGAAATTTAGTAGGTAAGACGCACACACACACACACCATGGGTAAGCAAGCATCTCCTGTATTTCTGTGTAGGATATGTTTGCTCAAGTTCTGGGACAAGGTGAATTTTCTTTTAAAGCCTTCATTAATCAAAACAGGAACTTGTTTTTAACAGGGCTGCTGCCAAATTAATGAATTTCAGTCAATAAACTGTATCTGTTTGTCTATTAAATCAGTATAAATTTTTGCATATTAATCAAAACTGAGGAGAAAATGTTTACATGAAATGCACAGCTTTATGCAGATATTTCAGGCTTTTAATATTGTACAGTATCTTAGAAGAGCATTCCCTTTCCGTTTGAGAGGGGTGTGTGTGGGAATGACTCTTAAAATGTTGTCTACCACCTACAGTTTATGTAAGTAATGGTTAAAAAATCAGCCCTATCAAATCAGGAACCATGTTTTTAACCAATTATAGGTTTTTTAAATTGGGTTAATTGATGGACTGCAACCCAAAGTACAGTTACACCAGTTTTAAGTACACTGACTTCAATGGCCTTAGGAGGCTGTAACTCTGCTGAGGACAGCAATTGTTGAGTGTTATGCCCCTGGTTTTAAGGATGAGCTAGAGGCACCAAGGCTAGCTTGCAAGCTTTTCCTGCCATCTCTTCCTTTTGTACTGCATGCTGGGATGCAGAGCGTGGAGGAGGAGGATCCAGAGCGGACAGAGGAGGAGCAGCACAAAGAGGAGGAGGAAGAGCAGGAACAGGAGGAGGAGACAGAAGCTGAGGCTGAGGCAAACGCAGCGGAGGAGAAAGGTGCAGCAAATCCCTGAGGAAAATCATGACCAAGACAAACTCAAGCTGAAAGCCATCTGCTCCCTTTGGGTGAGAGCCGGTGGCAGGGAAGCATTCCAGGAGGGGGGCTCTGGGAAAGGCCTCTGTGGGGAGCAAGCGATGCGCTGGGGCCAAAGGCTCAGGGAGAGACTGGGGGGGATGGCTTCCTTTGGGCAGCTGTTGCTTTTTGGTGCAAACGGGCTTTTATGTTTCAGTGTGTCACAAGGTCATCTAACCAGGGTTCTGCTGATGGTCTCCTGATCTCCTCCGGCTCTTTTTGGAGTTCCTTTTACCTGGCTTGCACTCTCTCTGCTCAGCACTCTTTC